AAAGAGAACTGTCTCATTAGGTCTGCTCTGCAGAGAGCAGTTTGCCCAGGTGAGCTGAGCCGTGGTAGCTTCTGCTGGCACGCTTGTAGAGAGAACTTAAGGGTGTACCCCACATTGATAGAACCCTACAGTGTACCCCAGGGGACTGTGGGAGAGATCAGACCAAAAGAGACATTAGAACAAATGAGGGAGCACGTGAGCTGCATTTCAGGCTGAAACCTCTACATCTTGAATGACTGCAGCTTGTTTACAAACCTGATAGGCCATGATGCAGATGGGAAGTAGGATTCAAAGCCATCACAGAACCTTAAAAATAGCACAGTGAAAGGCATTGGAGGTGGTGTGCTTTAAGCCCAGCTGGTAACTCAGCACCATGCAGCCATTCACTCACCTCACTCCTCTAGGCAGGATGCGGATTAGAATCCAAAGAATATAAATCCCACGAGTTAAGATAAGAACAGTCTAATAACTAAAGTACAGTATACTACTACTACTGCTAATAATAATATCATTATTATCATTATAAATATAATAACATGGGGAGAGAATATAAAACTAAAAAGGGAAAGGAAAAAACAATAAACACAAGTGATGCACAATACAATTTCTCACCACCCGCTGACTGATACCCAGCCTGACCTGAGCAGCTATCTGGGCCTTCCAGGTAACTCCCCCCAGTTTATATACTGGCCATGACGTGCTGTGGTATGGAATACCCCTCTGGCAAGTTTGTGTCACATGTCCTGTTTCTTGCTTCCTCCTGGCTTCCTGTCCCCCTCCTCACTGGCAGAGCATGAGACTGAAAAAGTCCTTGATCAGGGTAAGCATTACTTAGCAACTAAACCATTGGTGTGTTATCAGCATTGTTCTCACACTAAACCTGAAACACAGCACTGCACCGCCTGCTAAGAAGGAAGAAAATAACTTTTGCAGCTGAGCCCAGGACAAGAGGACAGGAAACAAAAACACCCAAGTGTGGAAGCTTTCTGCTCCAGCCCTGAGGGAATGACCCAGAGTCATGAGAATATATAGGCCAGATATTGAAGGAAAGAATGAGAAGCGGCAGGAGCCAACAGATATAATTTGTGTGGATAGGCTGTAGCAGCCTCTGCAGAAAGAATCACAAAACATTCTACTGAGAGAATATTTTATATTGCTGTGGGCATCTGCTCATCATCCACAAGCAGAAGTCGAAAACTGTTGAGACAGAACAAGCTACTTCAATGTAAACACCACCTTTGTTTCATGCCGAACAATGCAGTAGCATTTTGCTAACATGAATATTATTTAGGGTGATACCAATAAGTAGAATGAGAGTTATACGATTAAACAGAGCAAAGCAAAATACACTTAGTTCATCACAGGGAAAATTGTTGTTGTAAATTAGCTTCCTTAGGGAAGCAGCTGCAATGATTTCCAAATTGCTTGGAGTTAGAAGGGGGAAACATTGAAGGTCACATGGTAGACGGCATTGGTGTATGGACCAAGGGATGAGCAAGTCCTTTTCTCTTTGGAACTGGGTGTATCAGTGGATGCATTTTTAAAGGCGTAAAAATGCTCATAAGGATTTCCAAGTTGTTAATGGTCAGTAATGGCAAGCCAGAAGCGAGATGATAGGAGAAAAAAGGAGTTTATCACTGTATGGGTAGTGTTGAGCGTAGGCCATGATGAAAGAATGGGACTTGGGGGAAGGAGAAGCTCCATTCCAGAAAGGAGCTACTGCACATGCTTAAGAGTAGCCTCTGCTTGAAGACAAGAATAGACAAGGACTGAGGGTCAGTAAGAGGAGGAGTAGACAAGGACTGAGGGTCAGTAAGAGGAGGAAAGAAGCTAGCTCTGAGAGGCATATGTGGATGAGAGAGTGAAAATCAAGACAAAGACAAATGAGTGATGATGGAAAAAGGAAACACGTGTATGTGAACAAAAATAGTTGCAGTTATAGGAAGCGTGCTGTGGAAACTGATTGCTTGTCCCAGGTGTTTAACTGTAACTGTAACCAACCATAGTATTTACAAGAAACATTTCCAAATTGCAGTCACAATGTCTTTGTGAAGGAGGTGAGCACTGACAGAGGAGGGAAGCAAAGACAGAAAGACTGAAAGGCAACAGAGGAGTCTCTGTTGGTGTGGGATTAAGTGAGCACAATTTCTTGTGCTCAACTCGGAGCTTAAGCTTTGTGTCTCTTCCACTTCTGAACACTGTGAGTGCCCCAGGCATTGCTGGATCATCATCAAATATACCTGACCACTGAAGGAAATCACTGTTTAGATCAAAGTTCAGAGTGCTGCCAAATGTACCCCAAACTGCACCCTGGCCTGGACCCTTTTGAAACAAAGGGAGCAGTGTCTTCTAGCAATCCCAAGTGCCAGGAAGCAGAAAAGGAGAAGGTGTAATTCTAGATTTGAGGCTACAATTACAGTAGAAGGAGAGGACAAATACAAACTGTTTACTGGACAGTAGGACTTGGTCCTACTAGTTGTTGTAGTGAGATCTATTCTGGTAGCTATTCTTACCCCGGGAGGGAAATAGATGTGTATTAGTAACCTCTGCATCTGTATAACTGATAAGGTCACTGAGAGGGGAGGGAAGGAATAAATTGCTCCAAAAAAAAAACACCCTATATTGGTTAAAAAACAAACAAAAACCCCCCTCATATGCCAAAATAACTTTTCTTGTCAAAATATCTAATTTTTTAAGACAGACAACCCACTTTCTGAATGCTAACAATACTGATTTGGTTTAAAGCTTGTTTTCACAAAATATAGCTAAATCTTTGCTCAAAGGAATACATTCATTCCCCCACACCTTTATTGGCAGCCAGCAGTAGGCTTTGTAGACTCAGCCCTTGGTGTGTTGTCAGCACACACTTCTGTAAGGTGTGTATGGGTACTTTACACATGATTCTCAGTCCTCCCTTAATTTTGTAGCAGCAGCAGCTCTTTTTACTGTAAGCTTTCTGGCTGCTTGTCTTATCTTTGCTTGTGGGGACAATAAAAATCCTCTCACAGAAGAGGGCTGCTCTGTTGTTTCAACACTTACCACAAGTTGTTATGGGGGACAGCAAGATGATCCTACCTAGCACCTCAGTAGATCCCAACATGGGTCATAACTTCATAGGCAAAGCTCAGGAGTCAGCTGTATCTTTTTCAGCTTTCTCATTGCTTGGACCATACATTACTCTTGAGCTCCGGAATTAAAAGCATACTGCAGAAACTTTCTCTAGTTAGAGTTGCTTAACTTTGGCTCTGGAGACCTGAGCTGAAAATTTATATCAAATCCTGACTTGACTCAGGCTTAGCTCCAATTTTAATTTAACAAAGCCCAAAGATCTGAAGGGCTTTGCAAGATTTTGAAGAGACTAAAAATCTCTGCCAGTCCATGATCTTTAGAAGCAGTAGTGAAAGAAATTCAATCACTTTGTGGGGAAGAGGAAAACAACACATAAAGATTTATTCACAAGAGTGAATCTATAATACAGTCCTGTTATTCACAGATTATTTGGTACCACTGCATGGCCATTACAAGGACTCAGCCCCAGGAAATCTGTCAGGCACCACTATTTGTCTTTTGTGTCTTCTCTTTGTGCAATTAGAAATGTTAGCTGCATCTAACATATTAAACATTATTTAGAAGCTACATATTATCTGCACTGAAATTAGGATGATAAGATGTCCTGGGTTCAGCTGTAGCAGTCATTTTTCTCCTTTTGACTTTAGCCTGAGAACAGCACTGATAACACCGATGTTTTCAGTTGCTGCTCAGTAATGTTTACCCGATCAAGGACTTTCCGTCTAATGCTCTGCCAGTGAGGAGGGGCACAGGAAGCCGGGAGGAAGCAGAGACAGGACACCTGACCCAAACTAACCAAAGGGGTATTCCATACCACAGCACATCATGCCCAGTATACAAACTGGAGGGAGTTACCTGGAAGGCCCAGATCAGTGCTCCGGTCAGTGGGTGGTAAGCAATTATATTCTCTTCCTTTGTTATTTCTCTTATCATCATTATTATGGGTCATAGCAGTAGTGGTTTGTGCTATATCTTAGTTACTGGACTGTTCTTATCTCAGCCCATGGGATTTGCATTCTTTCGATTCTCCTCCCCCCCCGGGAGCTGGGGGAAAGGAAGAGGGGAAGTGAGTGAGTGGCTGCATAGTTCTGAGTTACCAGCTGGGCTTAAACCATGACATAAGCATAAATAAATAGCCAGTTTTAAATGATCATAGAACATGTTATCCCAAAGGGTGCTAGAGCATTCCCAGAATACAGATGGTTAGCAGGCCAAAATAGAGTATGCTGAACAAAAGCAGGCAAAGGAAAGGAGAGAAACTTTTGACCTCAGGCCCTTGGGCAACGGGTCAGATCTCCTCTCACAGAGCCACATGAAGTTTCTCATGTCCATGCAGAGCAAGCCTGACCACCAGGGTGGAAGCTTTATATCTAGTGAGCCTTTGAGAAATCACAGGGCTTAGGGCATCTTTCTGAAATTTGGACTAGTTCTTTCAATGAATTCCAGGACCAGGACATGAAAGAGACTCCTAAGTTATGGTTTTCACATAGCGCAAGACCATCAGTTATGCAAGACCAGCTGAAAATGGTGTGGATAAACCATATTGCCAGTTACAAATATGCATGTATTGTAAGCTAATTTAAGGCACATGTTGCTGACTACGGGCCATCTGCAGGAAGTGTTCTGTAGATGGCTGTGTCCTCTATCATGACAGGTTTAACCAGAAACAGTCTTTGTAGAAGTGAACATCAAATGTAATGTCAGAAAATCTTTCATCTTCTTGTCTGTGACAGCAAGCCATGAAGTAGGAAAAAGCAGCAAACTCCACAGGTGTGGGCGACAGCTAATGCTGACATAGCTGTAACGTAGTCAGGGGTTAAACTAAAAAGTCCTTCTGATTATCATATAATTTCCCCCATTGCCCACAGACCACTTCCTTTTCTACTCGCGAATTCTTTCCCATCTTCACAGTAGACAGAAGGCTGGTGCCTCTGTGTCAGGCAAGCATGAAGTTCGTTGCTCTAAATTTCTGTGTCCTCTGCTTTCACTTTGAAGCCCTGTATGGTGAGTACTCTTTTGGATTATTCTCTTTGCAGTAGATGTCTCTATGGAATAGAACTCACCCAATGATGGGAGACAGTAAATGAGGCATAATAGCAAGGGTTGGAGGAACAGAGGTAACTAAGGCAAACAGCTGCAAAAAGACTGCTCTCAACTTTAATGCTACTAGAGTTGCTGTGAAGAGAATTCCTGCCAGCACAGAGTGTTTGCTTTGAAACTGAACAGTACACTTTTTCACTGTTTATATCCTTTAGCTCATCTGCTCAGTGTTATCTTCTAGCTGTTTAGACTGTAATGCTCCCACCAGCTTCCCTTGCTGGGCATGAGGTCTTATAGCAGCATGAGAGTAAATGGCTTAATAAGGGAAGCCAGGTTATTGATATTGAACCTGCTCTTGTCTGGGTAGGGAATTTTTCTACTATTAAACATATGTATGGCATGGGAGAGTGGAAGAGCTTGTTTTGGTGCAGGCTTGACACTCAGATGACTTAAAAGGAAGCGTAGCATCCCTAATGCTGTGTTGAGAAGGCACATGGTGACAGCACTGATCTTAATCCAGCCACAAACATGGATGTAGCATTTTACAAGAGTCAGTGTTTTATCACAGCTACACAAAGTAAAATAACAGAGCTCACATTTATCTGTAGCCTCTCTGAACGCCACCCTATTACCAGGCTGGCACAGCAATACAGATAATATCTGATTAAGAAGAGTCTCTTTTTTATTGTAAGTATACTTCCCAAGGGTTTAGTATGACGCATCCGCTAAGTAAGACCTGAGATTTAGTGCTCACTGTTACTAAGCACCATCTGAACGTGTTCTCTTGAAGGTCATGCCAAAGGCTATCAAATATGGTTGCTTCTGAAATTGTAGTGATGTGGGATGGGTTTCAAGTCCCCCTGTAGAATTTAAGTACTCCTGAGGTTTCATACAGAATTTAAGCTTTCATTTAAATAAAAACCAGTTTCCAGATCTTCAGGCAATGCAGATACCCTTCTGAAGGTTAACTAATACAGCAATAGTATACTGAGTTTTCAGAGAGATTGAAATAACGGGTCAAATCACATGGGAGGAGGATGGTAATCATTATCTCTAAAGGGACATGAGCTGCTCCTTTTCTCCTTAAAAAGTTATTCTTAGATCTGAGAACAAAAAAACGTATCAGTTTTGTTAAATATTTCTCAGCTAGTCAACTTAGCAGGTATACTCAACCAATATGCTTTTACATGTGGCTGGAGCTATCTAGCTATCTAGCTAGGCCATTCCCAGTGGGAAGAAATAGGCTGCATTTTAAGGGTGCAATCAGTTGTGCTATCTGGTATCAGCATTTCTCCCTTCTCTTTCCCTTTCTCCATATATGGTGGATAGGATTGGGTCAGGGGGCTGAGGAGAGGAGATTGCAGGAGAAAGAGCCTGCCTGTAACAAAATTTGTATCTATCTCTCAACTTTTTTACATCACAATGCTTCCAGTATTTATACTAATATTATCATTATTATACTAATATTATAATTATTATTACTATTATTATTATTCCAGTATTTATACTAATATTATCAATATTATACTAATATTATCAGTACTAATTATGATCATTCTTGCTAAAAAGAAAAGGACTGTAAAAGATCAGCTCCATGTAAGACACATTAGCATGATACTGTCATTTAGAGAACAAGCCAGCACTTCAGAGAGCTCTCAAGCACTGTGGCGAATTTCTGGGAGCAAAAGGAGAGTAATTTCTGAGATTTTGTTGGTTTGATTGATTGGTTGGGTTGTGGGGTTTTTTTGTGTTTTTTTTTTTTTTTTGACTAAGTGATTATAAGCCCTACTTGTGACTTATGGATAGGGTTTTTATCAATGTAAATAAGTTATAGAAGGTGATGTATGTGTGTATATGTGTATTATGAGTTTATAACCTAGTTGTGATAAAGAAAGTGTTGTAAGAACATGGAGCCTCTCTGGTGCCTGCAGAGAAACACAGGCAATGGGGTTTGGGAGTACAGAGCTGTAGGATTCTATAGCACTTGAGGCCCTTGCTATGAAACATTGCACATGAGCTTTTGCATGCCAACATTTGCAAAGCATTATTACTGTTACCCACAGATGTCCTGTTGCCAATATAGGAGGAAATCATGGTCATTTCTCAGAAGGGTGTCTGAAATATTATCAACAATGGTTGCTGTGTCAGTGATGTATTTTATGAGTTTCTTTATTTCACAATATATGTTATACCATAGAAATCATTCAGATTATAAATGTCTTCCTAGAGTAATTCTGTCCATTACTTGCTTTGCCCAGAAGCACGGCTTTCCTCTCTTATTCCTTGATTCTTAAAAGCTAGGAACATGTTAGTTTCAAGCATATGACTAATGACACTGAATAGACACTGTCATCTTTCAGAGTGCCTTGAAAGGTCGAAGCTATAGCAACTTTAAAAACTGTGTGGTTTCATTACGCATTTGGTTTTAACAAAAGAAATGTGTTTGGTTTAAAGGCAGGGTCTGCACTCTGCTTGCTCACCTTCAGAGGCAAACACACCCAAGTGAAATGATCCCTTTTTTTTGTCATCAGCTAATTAGTTTTCTGAGAGCTGGGGCAGGTGAAACAAACAGCAAGAAAACCAAGCAGGAATATTCTATTCCCCTACCCTACAGCCAAGGTTTAAAATTAAGCAAAAGTGGGTTTTAAACTTCTGTTAGAACCAAAATGCGTAATGGATGTTTAAAATTGCACTGGCTCTGCCGAAGAGCAACCAGAAAGCTCAAAATCACAATCCCAATAAAACAAAAATAACCTGCCTTCCACTCACATTACCATAGAAATGCCCAAACCTCTGCCAAAGTGCTTTCCAACTGCAGTAAAAATGAAATCAAGACAGAAATGTACATGACTGTAAATACACACATATATAAAATGTACACACACACACTCTTTCATAGTTTGACATAGCAAGATGTTACTTTCATACAAATGCTCATCTCTTGGATTCACATCTGAACAACAACATTTGTCTTGACACTGCTTCACATGAGGTGAACCAGGAACAACTGTATGCAACTCCACAGTGTGACACTGCTATGAAATGAATAAAAGATTTGCTTATTCTTGTCTCAAAACCTTCATATGCAGTTTTGAATTAGCTCCTTTATGAAAAATACCAAAAAGGAACCTTGCTGCCAAATCTAAGCAGTTTTATTACTGACTCAGTGAGATTCGTCTGCTCATTTTCAACAATACTATGATGTAGTCTTTTATCCACCTGGTTTTTTGAGGTGGTATTAGGAAGGTTTAGTGATCAAATCTCTCAATATTGCTGGAAGCTTAAACTCCAGTTTCTTATCTCCCATCCCACTAAATATACATTTATACTGACTGTAACTTAGCAGATGACATTCCAAATGTGTCTGGTCATTAACTACGGAGTGTTACAGGCCCGTATGACCACTCTAGGATTGAACCCTCACAAATGGGCATAAGAGAACAGCAATCAGGCACAGGGAAAGGGGAGTAAGCCACTTTTTAGTATGCAGTGAGAGCATTCACATTAGGAGCTGATACAGTACAACTAGTGAGTTGGAAATTCATAACAGATCTCACCCATTGTGGTCATCCATGTAGATAGTTTTGTGTTTTAATCTCAGGCATCGTTGATCTCATTGTAAAATGTGGTCCCTTTATACTATGCTAAGCACACTTACTTGCTTCAGAGGAATACTAATTGCATCACATTTGCCAAAATGCTCATTCAGAGAAACACATTGCTGAGTCTTTCTTGAAAACAGGCAGTTAAGGCTTCTTGGCCTGAGAGAATACACAACGATCTTTCAGCTTGCCACAAGGTCATATGAACTACATGCTTAATGACCTCTCTCTGCCCTTTTCCATTAAAAACAAGGATTAAAACCATGATATCTGACAAACATTTTAAACCACCTGCTATGAAAGGGCAATTTCATTAGCTAACAGCAAAATTTAGCTATTCTTAGAGACAGAGAAATTAAATTCAAAGCCGTCACTTCACACAGAGCAAGGTAGCCCTGCACTCCTCTGGGGTGCTGGGTGAATATAGCACCACTTGGCTCTGTAGCTGTCCTAACAGAGCCCCATCTGCCTCTCAGACAACCAGTGACAAATGTAGAGGTCTCAGCTACAGGTGGATGCTTCTCAAGAGTATCAGGTTGGCTTGCACATTCACCATGCTCCCTAGCTTCTGCTGTAACAATACACTATTTTTTTTTCTTCCCTAAATAATGTGTCTTTTGCTGGGCATAATTTAAAAGGTATACATTACCAAACTACATGCCATTAAACTACAGAGCATTTCAAAAGACCTTTACTTCAAATGTTGATCTCATAGCAGCTGTTTTCTCTCACCATGCAACATACAAGTCATCAAGAACTGTTTATTAGACCTTTGCTTTCAGCTTTTCACACTATATGCCATTATGAGGGCTCACACTTTCTGTGTCTGTGCCTTCAATGTATCTAGAGCTCTATTTCACTGTGGGTTGGCGAGATGTGTGTTCTATCTGTCTTATCTTCACACCAGTGGTACAAGATGCCAAATACCTTTTCTGTTATCACACACTTAAATAATTGTCTCTGAATTAGATAAGGGTGCTGACCATGCTCAGTAAATGAGGAATATGATAACTAGGAGAGAGTAAATCAATCAAAAAGAGGTAACAGTTGCTACTGCTTTCCAACTGAGCATCACAAAGCATCTTCCAGAAGTCCATTAGCTTGTGTGTCACACTAAAAATATTTTAAACAAGTATCATTCATTGCAATGCCTTTGCCAGTGGTAGTAATTGGGGAGCAAGAATTCAAAGGAAAAAGGATGGGCACTAAAAGATTGGCTCTGTCCAGAAAGATGTGAGAGCATACAAAAGTACCCAAATGAGAATAAGCTGTTCCTGTGCATATGTAGGCTGGATGTCAAACATAACAGGTACCTTGGAAAAAGAATTATTTATACTGTGTAATCCTGTGCAATACCTGACACAGTTGGGGACTTTGTGTGGATCTAGACTACTGACACAGCAGTATCAACAGGAATAGGATGGTGCATCAAAATCTTTAAATATTGGCCCTGTATTTTCTTAACATCATAAAATCCTTATGTAGGGTATATTTCAATCTCAGCAGTTTCTGAAGAACTTACTCAGGTTACCAGAAAACAGAAAAGCAGATAACAGGGTTTTGCCTACTTGTGTACTGATCTGTACCTTGAATTTTAGGGTACCACAAAAATAAAATTTCCTAATAAAACCCTGTTGGGCTGTGTTATGCTGCCAGTACTGACAACAAACCATTTCAAAGCAGTACATGCCACCAATCCAGCCAGAAAATTCCACTTTCAGTATAGTGGGTCGTGCACCACTTGTCTTCTGTAACGGAGGCTGCTTATGCACAATAGACTGAAAGCAGTTTGATAATCGCGAAGGGGAAAAACTGCTACTGAAAAAGGAACACAACTGTATGCATTGCCTGAATATTTTCTTGCTGCATGCACTGGAGCATCTTCAAGATACGCATTCTGGATGTACCATAAAATGCTTTGGTACAGTGTTGAGCAGCGGGGGAAACAGAAAGAACATAGACCAACGTGAGCACTTTAGTTTGGAAGCAAAGTATAATTCTGGCTCAGTGCAGACTCTGGATTCATAAGAAGTGAAAAAAAATGCTTTTTTTTGTCTGGGGGCAGATTTCCTTTGGGGGAAATTTTAGTTTGATCTCGGATTCTATTTATGAATTAAGTCCATCACTTTCTCTATATGTATAATCAATATCAATTCTTACCTATTGCATTGTCTTTCTATTTTGTTCTTCCTATTTCCTATTTTTCCCTTTTATCACATCATAAGATTTTATAATGTAGCGCAGACAGGATGAGATAGGCTAACGAAACAAAGTGGAAAATAACTTTAGCATGTTAACATTGAATGGCTCAGTTTCTGTTCCTGCATCTCTCTTCTTGAATTTTAAACAGGAAACTATTCTGTATTTTTCAGGATCAGATAGCTGCTCATCAAGACCGTGCAAAAATATAGGTAAGACACGTGCATAATTTGTTTAATGGTTTAAAATGCCTTTCTAGATCAGAAAATACTGACCTCAAATGAAAAAGTAGTAATTCTTTTACAGCACACTTCAACATATTTTTGTCTGAGGGAGTTTCTCATGCTATTGGTTGCTGATTTACAAAGTCAGACTGTGAGGTAGCAGGAGGTGGTTGGTCAGTTTGTTTTCTTTATCTTCTCCAATAAATATGCCAAATAAGAGTTGCACAATGTCTCAAAGGTTTTAGACAGTTTTAGGGAAGGTCAAACTTGATTTTTTGATTGCATGTGGATATATGCACACAGAGATATTTGTCCTCGACTCCTCCCATTATGTTAATAATAAAGGTGCTATGGCCATCTAAATAATTAGGTTTAAACTTCACATCAAGCCTCGGACCACTACTCTAGAAAAGAAAGATCCGTCTTGTGGTTAATGCACTTCTGTAACAGTCTGGGGTTTACATCCCATTTCACGTTTTCAGCTACATCGTCAAACTGGTTGGATAGCCAAGCCCAAAGAGTTGTGGTGAATGATGTTAAACCAAGTTGGCAGCTGACCACAAGTGGTGTTCCCCAGGGCTCAATACTGAAGCCAGTTTTGTTATGTTTATAAATGATCTGGACGAGTGGATCGAGTGCACCCTCAGGAAGTTTGAAAATGACACAAACTTGGGTGGGGTGTTGACGTGCTTGAGGCTCTACAGAGGGATCTGGACAGGCTGGATCAATGGGCTGAGCCCAACTGTATGAGGTTCAAAGAGGCTGAATGCCAGATCACAATAAGCTGTGAATTCAAAGAGGCTGAGTGCCACTTGAATCACAATAGCCAATGCAACACTATATAGGCTTGGGGAAGGGTGGTTGAGTCACCATCCCTGGAGGTATTTAAAAGATGTGTAGATGTGGCTTTTAGTTCAGTGGAGGACATGGCAGTGCTAGATTAATGGTTGGAGTCAATGATCTTAAAGGTCTTTTAGGTCAACCCAAATGATTCTGTGGTTCTATGATCATTAGGGTGCAAAATATTAATCATAAACCAGAGATGATAATTTTTGTCCCACCTAGTTTTAGGACAATCCATCTGAGGCAGGGATTATATGTTCATATAGTGTTTTGTCCAAGGCAATCTTTGAACATTCTCAAGTAACTCACTGATCCAATGCTAACAGTGACTCTCCAGCCTTATAGTCGACAATAGGCCAGGTCTTATTTATTTTCTCAGTAATGCCTGACATGATCAGAATGGTGCACTGGTATCTCATTGTACAGGCTGTTTTCCACAGCCAGACTATTCTGAGTACCAACATGCCTAAAGTTTCAATCACATGGTTCACTTGCTTTGTTTAAATGAGTATCTTAACATTTTTAGGGATTCTTTTCATTGCTATGTGAGTGACTATACTTATAGTTTTCATGTCTTCAGATCAGTCTCATGTCTCCGACTCCCAAACGACGGTGGAATTTGAAAATGGAAACTTCAAGTTTATATTCCCCAACCCCCAAAATGTGAGTGAGTTCAGCATGACCCTCTTCAAAGGGCATGAAAAGAAGGAGATCTGTGCACTCCATTTGAGTGAGGGGAATGTTATCCCCAAGAGTAATGTCACCTACTGTCAGACAATGCATTCAAAAAGCAGCACCACTTTCATCCTTAAAAATCTGGAAAGAAAACATATGGACATGTATACCTACTGCCTGGAGAAGTTCTTACCCCCTCCTTATATAGAGTGCCGGCTGAAGGAAACATATTTGTACATCCAAGGTAAGTTTACTTCTCCCCTCACTTCAGGCTACTGATAAGCAGACATTGGACATAGCTATGCTGCAGTGAAAAACGTGACTAGATTTTGCACAGATATTTCTAAGACAGCTTAAAACTACTTAGCAGGGAGCTGGTCACAGTGGAGCTGACTTAGCAGATTGCTCAGTGGGACCTCTCCATAGTTATTCATCTTCTTGCGCAGGCTTTGTAGGCCATGCTAAGCTCTGTATACTGTTGGTGGTGTGCAAGCTAGCGAAACATCTTCTAGAGTATTGCGGTCCCACCTTTGCCTGCAGCACAAATTTCCCATTGTTCTTTTTACAGGCTGCTGAGTGTAAATGCTAAGGTTATTTCTAGCCAGAGAAAAAAAAAAAAGCCATTCTGGGAGCTCTCTTTATGTGCCTAGGATAAGAAAAACCCCAACAACTAAAACACAAAACAGCTGTAAATATCTGTGCTAGTAGTGGTATGTGGAACTCTGATGCCACACTGATGTGAAGATTATATTCACCTCTCTGAAGCAGGCCTTCAAGTTTATAGTCTTTTTAGACCAGAAAAGATTGACAGCTGCTGAGGATTTTTTGCCTTTTACTGAGGAGGGCTTGGACTAACTTCAGAAGACTCACTGAATAGGCTTTAATTTTTAATTGCCTTTCACTCAGTGACTCTTTGCTATATTAAGTGAAGACAGTTAATAACAGTTTTGCTCATACCTCTTCTTGGTTCTCTGTATAGTCCAGTTCCAACATGCTAACTGCCTGTTGTCCTTCTCTTGCTATCTTTTCCTACCTCTTAACACAAGGACTAAACAAAGATAGAAGCTAAGGCTACAGTTATGTGGTTGGGTAAAACTATCTCTCAGCCTTCTGTAAACTTAAACCAGCTCTCAGAATTAAGATGTGGTATCCCTTTTTGCCTGCAGTGTTTCCCAAAGCTATACATTTCCGTTTTTATGGATAGCCAGATGTTCATAGCTATTGCCAGATATTTCATGCCCTATCATATTTTCTCCGTGATCTGGGCAAAGGCAATCTTGTGTCTTCAGCCTGCCTTCCTATCCAAACATGACTGCCTTTCTTTCATCCATGCTGCCCTTTAAATCACCTGTAGTATTCACTGCATGTAAGCTTTGCTCAGATCTGAAATACCATCGGGCTCTCAGACCTGGTTTGGTTTATTTTCAGTCTACACTTTCAGCCCTGTGTACCAACAGTTTCACCCTTCCTGGGAAACTGCAATGTCCTGCTTCCTGTGGAATACACTTTTCCAAGGTGGCTTTTCACCTCAGGAAAATCCTTCTCTAGAGCTCACTTTTGCTATTCTGTTAATATGAAGAGAAGAGAGGAAAGAATTTGGAAATTAACTTGGGTGGTGGTGGTGGGGAAGAAGAAGGGAATACAAATTATCAGTAATGACTTTTTTGCCTCCCCAACTTCAGACAAGGAGGATTGCATTTCAATGGGACTCACACCATGGATAATTACTGGCCTGATCATGTTTGCCATGATTTCTTGTGTCTGCTGTGTCATAGCCTGCTACCTTTGGAACAAGGTAAGCAATTCTATGAGATTCTGCAGGACCCTCCTTCCAAAGGTCATGGATGGGGAACTTGGTTTAATGAGATTTAGAACACGGGACAGGCACATACTCACTCAGCACATGATGTGGTTTTTGACAAAGAGGCCAAGTTGTTAATTTACCCCTGGAATTCAGTCATTCAGCAGCTCAGATTCAATTTTTCTGAGGCAGAATTGCTTATTAATTTAAAGGCTGGGAATCAAAGGAAAGAGGGGAAATGCTGCACAGGTCAGCAAAATTACCTTGGTAAGCAATTCACCTGATTGTTTTCTTCAAGAAGGGGAAACAAATCAGCAGTGGAGCAATTCCAGCACTGTTCTGGAGCAAAAGCACTTAAACAAAGAAGCAGTTGGCTCAGGAAAGAAACCATGGACATTCATTATTCTTTTGGACAATGTGTGTTTTTCATTTTCGGTTTGTTTTATTCTAAGTTTTCTATGTGAATGCCTGTCTCTTCTGACTTAAATATTCCCACTGAAAACAGTGGGAGTAACTGCCCTACTTAAACAACAAAGGCAGATGTGGCAGAGGTCAGTGACCACAATGACCACAAATTATATTCATGACATTTTCTCCCTGTTGGCAGAATCAGCAGTGTGAATCCAAGTCCCATGAGTACAACAGTGAATACATGCCCATGGCAGCAGTGAATGCAGCTAAAAACCCAAGAATCTAAGGTTGTATTAAGCCTAGCTGTAGCTCTGCTTCTATCTGTTGCACAGCTTTCTCTGGGAGGGAAAGGACTGTTTGCTGTGTCTCTCCATGGTTCTAGGTGGGTGGGTGAGCGGATGGGATTGTTGCAATGGCTTGATAATGGAGCTCATGCTGCCATGTAGCAGGCAGCAGAAATGGAAAGCAAGATCTCTGGAAATCTTTTGAATCAGAATGGTGGGCTGGTTCCTAGAAAGGAAACTGCTTTGCATCAGTGCACAGTAATGAACTTATGCATGAGGAAAAGATGTGAAACTGTCTCATTCAGACTCTTCAGATGATGTGTGGTACCCAACATGTCTCTGGGGAAGTGATTTACTAGATTTACTGTGTTTCCTGGCTAAGGGCAATAATCTGTAGAGAATGAGGAACTTCCTAGCTTGAAGCTTAAGCCTTGAATACAGCACAAAATCAGAATCTGGACTGATTCAGAAGTTTGGGTGTTGCATGTAACTAATTCTCCATTCCTATTCCAGGTATAAGTTGCTTGTGGGATGGAGATTCTGGCATCAGGTTTCCATCTACTTGAACCTGGACAAAGGGAAATCAGCATTTCCTCACCTTTCCCAGCCTCCCTGAGATCTCATGATGGTTCTTGATTCAGCCATGGGACACCCACTTTAGTACTGTTCTGAGCTGTGTTTGGTCGAGGCTTGTGTGCTTAGAGCAAAACTGGCTCATTGCCTGATCCACTGACTTGTACATGGAGTGCTAACAATGTGTTAAAAATGCCAGCTTTTTAGTTGAAGAACATGTAGTGAGTTTGCTTGAAAATAGATTTGTGTAGTACCGCTACAGAGGGAACTTTTATTTTCCACAGTCTCATTTATGATAAATTTTCCACCAGGGACAAAATAAAAACCCTACCTCCAATGCCAATCCTTGTGGCACAGCCGTGAATCACTGTTCATGTATTGCACATACTCTTTTGTTAGGGCTAGCTTAGTCTGGTAGTATCAGTTCACCACACTGGGAGAGTGTGGAATGCACACATACTCCCCTCCACCAAGCTATGGGACAGCAGGGGAACAAAACCTGAGAGAGCACAGCAGAGACTTCACTGTGACATGGTACCTCAGGTGTGCGCAGCTGTAGTTTTCAAATTCATGCTATCAATATGTCTTTGGCATGCACACCTTGGGACTCCTTGTATTTAATTAAATTCTGAATTCCTGTTAATAACAGAGGAATGTATTACAAGAGGAATATATTGCAAGGCTGCAATTGTTCTTTAAATCAGTTCAAGCCTCCAAGATCAGTCCCTAAACTGGGAGGCACAGCCTTTCCTCTTGATGTGTCTTGCAGCACAAATATAACACAGTCCATAAGACCAGTGTATTCATGGACTCTGCACTGCAATTATCTCCCTCTTGTGGTTTGACATAAAGCCTTTACCATTTCTCTGGTGGGTTCAGGAGTTGCTTGACCTGCCTCAAATTGCTCAGAGCCTTCAGTATGAATGAAAGGATCAATCCTTCATGCTCCTTGTGAAATGTGTCAAAACTCCGGCCATAAATGACCAGCTGGGAATCCAGCTTGCCTGTTGCCAAATACCGTTGGGCTGCTGGAAGCAGATCAGTGCACTGATTGTGAGTATCTCTGCAATTCATTATGAAAACAAGTATCATTCAGAGGACGCTATTGTGAAAGATACATAGCCTGCTTGTCTGGCAAACAGAAGGCTGATTTCAAATTTGATAGGGCAAACAGGGACTGACAACGAAGAGAATGTAAGCTGGTATGTCTGGAACAGGGTTTTCCTCTACAGACACCTAAATTCCTAGAAATATTGTAGAGGCAGAGTGCAGACTGTTAACTATGACTTTAAGCAAAAGGGAAATGACTAAAGCGTCAAGTGAAGTGGCGACTGCAAATTTCACAGCCAGTACCCTGCTTAGAGAACCAGCTCCTAGGCAGAGATGTAGAGGGGCACATCATTACATTCTCTCCTGTCCTTCTGCCACATAACCATTGCCAAATTACTTGAACTTCCCAGCAAACCAAACTCTCCTCTGTACATCCACAAATACACTGATTTCACCATTTAAAAACTATTGCTGGAAGCATTGCCTTTGAAAATTATTGGTGAAAATAACTAGCTAACTTCTACTGCCCAAGAGAAATGCTGGTTGCAAGATCCTGTGTAACAGCGGAGAGTCCTATGCCCTGGAACCGTTCACCAGACTGAGAAGGATTGTCATGGAATAAAGAGCTTCTGAAAGAGAGAAAAACTTGAGGTTTGCCTTGAGATGCTGCTGGATAAGGGACAAATGATGAAAGTCTGAACAAGGCAGTTCAAAATACATTCTGCTCTGGAGACGTAAATGATTTATACTCATTGTAACAAAGCTTTTTGAAATCTCAGGTTCTGTCACTGCTTTATTTTTGGAAAAAGAGATTTTTATTTTTAATAAACTGTTTTTTTCTTATGCCACATTTGTCCATAAGAAAGTTCATGCATGCATGTTGTGTTAAAGAAATAAGCTCTATAAAATCCACAGTGCAATGGGGAGAGCGTACTGGGCGATTTATCCCTAAATAACATCTTAATGGGAAATAGGAAAAAGACTAAGGAAAAAAAAAGAAATCAAACAAACCCACAACAAAAAAACACTGAAAAAGTTAAAACCAAAAATGTTTATCTTTTTCAATGCACTGAAGCAATAACACTATTTGGATCTGTTTGTTTCATTTTATTTTCAAGATGAAGTCTTTTTCTGTCTTGTCCTATCCCTTTATTTATTTTTTTTTAATCCCCTATGCCAGAAACAGACAATGTTCATAATTATTTCGGGACATTTTTCAGTTTCTTTCTGCCATTCTTCAATACTTCAAAATCAAAAGAGGATAAAGGATGGCAGAATGAGAAAAAACCAAAAAACCTGTGAAAAAAGTCACATGAGCTGAGGGTACAGACTGTGTGACAAGAAAGCATTAAAATAAAAGAAAACAAAAAAAGGAGTCAATAAGAATAAAAAAAAAGCCTGATATTCTAACAGGACAGCATTTCAAAATTTAAAAGCTCTCTCTGGAAACTTCCAGACTGGGGAAAAGACTATTTTAGCAGGAAAATAATCAAATAAGAGTATTTCAGCCAACTCTTCTACAAAATCCACTTTCAAGACAAGCAGAAGTATGAGTAATGTCCAAATAACCTCCAGGAAATCAGAGGTTTGAGGGTAAAATAAACTACTAAGGCACAATCTCAACCTGTGCTTCTCTGTTTGCCAGGTAATGGCTTAGTGTGGGGAGTGATATGCCACAGTTTAGGACTGTAATATGAAGTTTACAATTATAGGACAGTCTGTGAGGAGGGTTGTACAATCTGTCCCTCTCCATCTTTGTCTTCTATTGCTTTGTGGGGAACATGGCTGAAAAAGTATTTTGGCTTGGGCTTTTCCAGGAGCTGAACCCCTAATAACAGTATTCTTGTAAACCCAGTTTCTGTCTTACAACATGAAACATAAGATTCAGGATCAGTAAATGCTTTCATCCTTTCAGATTTATCACTGCTATAAGTCACCCCCCATCTATTTACACTCAGGAATGCTCTTTAGATCTTCCCAGTTCATGCCAGCATGGAGTGTATGAAGTCAGTAAGTCAGTAAACCAAATAGGTATGTATAGCAAAGAACAACTCATAATCTTCTTGAAGGTTAAGACTTGAAATAAAAATGTGCAACTTGAGGAAAGTTAAATCTTGCTGAACAGGTACAATGATCTAATGTGAACAGGTGAAAGATGTTAAGGATGACAACTACAGCTACTCAAAAATTTAAGGAAGGATAAATGACAAGAATAACATCATTTTAACACCTGCATAGCTTGAGATGGATTGAAATCCAAACCTCAGTATGTATTTTACAAAATTTTCTTTCCAGGCTGAAAAATCGGAATGCTTGTGGAGTTTAATGATTGGATTTAAGATTGCAGTTTCCTAGCCAATATATAGCACTCGGGAATGAAATGACACTATGAAACGCTGTGGACTGTTTTCCCTTAGCACAGGTATTTCTTTAACTTCGGAGTTCAAGTAGTTTTAAATTCTGTCATACTTCTTACAGAGTTCTACAAAGTTTATTTAAGGCTGGGAAAAAAAGGCTCTTGAACTAAAGTAAATCAAACAAACTAATTGAAACGTGGATCTGTACTGAAGATACTGTACACTGCTATTCACAAAATGTTTTAAACTGTGGAAAGTGACTTACGCTTGTGAATCTATAAGTTTCATGCAACACAGCATCCATGCAACAACACATCCATGCAACACAGAAATAATAAAAGTGGAAAAAATACAGGTCACTGAAATGATTTAGCAGTCCCTACTAACCCAATTGGTAGGGACTTTGTCCATTCAAAGTTTATTGGGGAGCTGGATCTAAGTCTTTGCCTTTGGTCTGACTTTAACTGCAATGAGACATTCCATATACCCACGTCCCTTGAGTGGTCCAGTCCATCATTGCTATAATAGTCTACCCTGTATTAAAAATTTCCCATTTCTTTGAGAGATAAAATGTTGAGGTTTTTTATGTTTGTGCTATGATTATGAGTTCAGTTCAGTGTGTGGGGGTTCACTGGAGAAGAGGGAGGAACAGGAAAGATTAAACAGCTTTTCTGGCAAAATGAATTGGACAGGTATGAACTGGAGATATGAAAAAGAGGTCAGGGGGTGAATTTCATCTAAATGAGTATGCTTAAGCTATTTAATTCCTCCTGGGAGTCATAAGATCTTGTATGTCATAAGATCAATTTTTAAAGAGAGATAAATCAGCTCTGATTATCAACAAGAAAGATTTAGCTGCTGCACATATCAGGCATAATCATTTTTAAAAGCTGCAAAACATTAACAACTTTGAAATACTGAACATCTTCCAAATACTAAATCCTGTATCAGTCCTCCTAGTTTTTAGTACACTGTTGGCAAATCCATCACCAATGATATTTCATCCCCTGTCCCAGTGAATTGCAGGAGCAAGTTTCACTGCAACTTAAATAGTTTGTTGCCATCTCTCAGAATTGAGGCTGGGATTTAATGTCTGGATTGTGCAAAGACTTGCAAGGGCATATTCCTTTTCCTACTGTTGTGAAGGACACAACATTTGCTGCCCTCGGGTTCTTTCAAAAAGATATTTGAAACACTGAGAAAAGCAGAAATTATGTTACTACCAGCTGATGAGAGCAGGAGGGAGCATACTACCTTTCAAATGCGGCAGTTCAGCTGAACAGAAACTATGGAGTATGAGAACTCTACACAGACTTTTCAGGCCAAATTTTGAGGGAGGAAGCTCAAAACTGGGATTCTCAGACATTTTTCTGGCTAGTTTCCTCCACAAATGTAAAGAACTTGTGCTAGTCTATTCAATCAAATAATTTTCTGTTTGTAAGACAGAAAGAATGACAGGATTTGCTCATTAAGACTTTTGGGCCTGAGTGAAACAAGATATTGTAATAAGTAGCTGACTTAGTGGCAGCAGAAGTGCCTCCTGTCTATGGATTCTCCTGTTGATCAGGCTTGTGTGGGGCTACCACACAATTGGGCAGGACCATGACCATGAGACAAAAGGACCAGAGAGTCTCATGAGGGTCAGAGATGGAATCATAGCCTAGTGCTTCTGCTTTCATGAAACAGATACATCTACTTAGCTCTTACTAGCTATTACATCCTTGAAAGCCAGACCACTGCTTTCATTTCTGTTCCTTTTCCTAGCTGTTCCTCTGCTGTTCAGTCACAACCGTAGCTCCATGGAAATCTACTTGATGCCTGCCCTGGCTCCTTTTAAGACCTGTGCTTTAGAAGCCCAGCCAGGACTTTCCCTTCTGCATCATCCGGTTGTCAGTAACCAGACTTCACAGTATCTTACCTGCACAGCAAGGGGAAGCTCAGAGGAGATGCATGGCAGAAGCTCCTGCTTAGCTATACAGTGATCACAAAACAGGAATTAAAGAGATTGCCATGGAGAAATGTGTGGGTTCCTGGACCGTAAAGAAGGTAAACTAAATTAAAGGATTTAGGACTTGAGGAGTTGCAATAGCTCACACAGTCCCCATCTGTAAGGACTGAGGACAAGTAGCTTCCAAAAAATACCTGGCATCCACCAAGTTGTTTTATAAAACCTTATCCAGGCAGTAACTTCTGCAACTAAAACAAGCAACTCTTAAGGAATACTGCCAGAACAAAAGGTACCTTTGCTTCCAGGAAGTCATGTTTTTTTACTCAAGGGACTGATGAAAACAAGTAGCCAGTGAAAAAGGACCTCTTTCAAGCACAGTACATTTATCAACAGAACACTGGCTGGGTCTTCATCCTGTCTGATGGAGACACCGCCTTCCCAAACACTAGCCCATAATCACGGCTTTTCCTTCTGTGAAGGAGCTGATCAGCTCAACAGGGCTGTGCTATCAGACAAAGGGGCACTCTGTAGTCCACAGCAGATCTACCTGGCCAAGGAGCCATGTCAAGCAAGGGCTGTTGCTGAGCATCTCTTCACCTGTAGTTGAAGAGACACCTTTTCTGCATGTCCTTGTTTCTGTTTCCTACTGCAACATCTGTCTCACTAGCTTCAAAAGCCAAAGGAAACTTCATCACCATCAGGAATACAACCCGGGTGAAACAAGCCCCATCTTTCTTGCTAAGTGTATTAGTAATCTTTCTGTTTAAAGATCAAAGAAAAGGTGTGCTGTTTACTGGAAAACACAGACATACTAAAGAAAACGGCCACCCATGTTTAATACTGGCTCATGATTCAGAATTTCCACTGAAAATGTGAGTAAAAGAAGCAACCTCTTAGCTCAAGGTGGTGAATACACACATTTTATTTGGTGAGAAAAGGGGCCTCTATGTGCTTTAAGAAAATTCCTGTCACTAAGCACAGTTATTACTTCAAACACAAGTCTCCAAGTGACCGCAAACGCCTTCAGCACACAGAC